CTCTCTCTCTCTCTCTCTCTCTCTCTCTCTCTCTCTCTCTCTCTCTCAAAAAGAAAGAAAGAAAGCAGAAAATTATTTGTGTCTCTGGAAATGCAGTGAACATTTATCTAAGCTTATCTTTTGCAATACTCACTATTATCTATATTTCAAAGGTCAACTGTGGTGCAATTACACTCAAAGCTCAATTATTTTTTGTTTATTTAACAAATGTGTATTCCAATTTACTATAGAACACACTTATTCGGGTACAGGTGATCGTGTTGTGTGCAATACAGATAAAGGCAATGCTAACACAGAGTTCACGTTCTGGCTGGAGATTATAAAACCCAAGAAAGCAAATATATACTAGGTGAGGTTGATAAGGACTAAAGAATGACTTAGGTTGAGGGGACAGTTTATTTGGTGAGCAGACGGTGACTCCTTTATGAAGGTGGTCAGGGAAGAACTCTATGGCAAGGGAACATTACTTCAAAGACCTGAATGGAATGAGAGCATTCCACCCAGGGAACAGAAAGTGCAAAGACCCTGAGGCTTGAACATGCTGGAAATTGAAATAGCAAAGAATTCATTTGGAATGAAAAGGGTTGATTTACCATGGGAGTGACAAGAGAGGCTATAATTCAACTAAGGTCAAAAAAGAATGAACAGCATTAATAATTTCAAATAATTTGTAAAATTACAGTATTAGTTCCAATAATTTTTAAATAATCTGAAAAATTGTACCAATATATGAATACATTTAAATGATTATATTGTTTTTGCATTTGTCAGGTCCTCTGGCATTTATTGCCTCAAGAGTTACAGCATAAACATATTTGATGTATACAGTGACACAAACAAAAATATTAATCCAAGTGAGATGGCAGATTCATGTATTGCTTGTTAAAATGTTCAAAGAAAGGGCACATACTTTTTAAATTAAATTATTTATTTATTCTGATTTTTTATACATGATGGCAGAATGCAATTCATTCATATTACACACATAGAGCACAATTTTTCAAGTCACTGATTGTACACAAAGTATTTTCACACCATCCGTGTCTTCATACATGTACTTAGGGTAATGATGTCTAACTCATTCCACCATCATTTCTACCCCCTTGTCTCCTCCTTACCCTCCCTCCCCTCTGCCCTATCTAAAGTTCCTCCATTCCTCCCATGCTCCGCCTCACCCATCCCCATTATGAGTCAGCTTTCTCATATCAAAGAAAACAGTGGTTGGTTTTGGGGGATTGGTTACTTCACTTAGCATTATATTCTCCAACTCCATCCATTTACCTGCAAATGCCATTATTTTATTCTCTTTTAATGCTGAGTAATGTTCCATTGTGTATATATACCAAAGTTTCCCTATCCATTGATCTACTGAAGGGCATCTGGGTTGGTTCCACAGTTTACTATTGTGAATTGTGCTGCTATAAACATTGATATGGCTGTGAGGGCACATACTTTTATATAATGATACATCATGTTTTTTCAATTTAGGACTCTTAAAATAATAGTTGGGAAAGAAATTTTTAAAATTTAGTGATACTTTTGTATATATTCTAGGCAAGTGCTGTACTGCTCAGTTACATCTCCAGCCCATACATTTATATTATAATACACAAATTAAATATTGATATGAAGTTATGGTTGTCAAACACTAGTCTACTAGTCAGGGTTCTCTGGGATTCAGGTGATTATAGAAGCTGAGAAGTTCGATGCTCTGCTATCTGCAAACCAAACAAGGAAGGGTGGTAGAGAAATTCAGTCTGAGTTCAAAAGCATGAGACAGGACGGGTGAGGCTTGGCCACTGTAAGTCTTGGAAGCTAAAGATCTGAAAGTCAGTAGCTCTGATGTTCAAGCATGAGAGAAGACAAATGTCCCAATTTAAAAAGAGGAAGAAGAAGAAGAAGACGACGACGACAGAATTAGAGAAAGAGAGAAATTCCCCTTTATCCACCTATTTCTTCTACTCAACCAAGCCTTCAATTGATTGGTTGATAGACACCCACATTGATGAGGAAGATGTTCTTTTAAGTCTACTGCTTCAAATAGTAGTCTCTTTGGAAATATTATCAAGGACACACAGAAAAAAAAACTTTAAACTATCTGAGTGAACCTGAGTCCAGCCAAATTAACCACCACAAATACCCATATTACATTTAATTCCAACAGATTTAGTCTACTCATGTACATGAGTCCTCATAGGTCACCTGCATGCACTTTTATTCAGAGGCTTATTAATGCAATTGTTTTATATGTATGCATTAATACATGCTAGAAAAAATTGCAAGGAAGAAAATTAAATAATAAATATAATCGGGATTTTGACAAGCAGAACACAAAATATCATAGACATTCTCATTAAGGTATTACAATTCTGAATGCAAGGTTTCTTTTTTTTTCCCTAGACAACGGACTTATGCAAGATAAGGTATCACTTCCATAACTTAACTTCACTGTGGGTCTTAAAATGTGACACTAACATGGAGAAGTTCTGAGAGGACTGAATACTGTTATACATATTTCAAAATGGTTAATTCTAAAACCTAAAGACTACTTTTTCTCTGAAAAATCTTTGAGAATGCACTCTTGACCTCCTTGTTCCTGAGGCTGTAGACCATAGGGTTCAGCATGGGGATGACCATGGTGTAGAAGACAGAGGCGATTTTGTCCGTGTCCATGGAGTGACTGGAGCTGGGCTGTAAGTACATGAAGATAACAGTCCCATAGAAAATGGAGACAGCAGTGAAGTGGGAGGCACAGGTGGACATAGCCTTCCTATGTCCTGAGCCTGAGCGCATTTTTAGGATGGTGATAAAAATGAACATGTAGGATATTAAGATGATAAGGAGAGCAAACAAGATATTGAAGCTTGCAACGTAAATAAGAACCAGATCATTCACATGTCTACTAGAACAAGAAAGAATCATAAGTGCTGGCATATCACAGAAAAAATGGTGGACCACATTGGACTTACAGAAAAAGAGAATGAACGTGTTCCCAGTGTATATTGAAGCACTCAAAAGTCCACAGACATAGCAGCCTATGATCAGACTTGCACACACATTTGTTGTCACGGTGGTGGTGTAGTGCAGGGGCTTACACACTGCTGCATAGCGATCATAGGCCATTGAGGCCAGGAGATAGTTTTCCACAGTAGCAAAACCTGTTACAAAGAACATCTGAGCAGCACAAGCATTGTAGGAGAAGACCTTGTCTCCAGGAAAGAGCCCAGCCATGACCATGGGTGTGACAGCTGAAGAGTAGCAAAAGTCCACCAGAGACAGGTTACCCAGGAAAAAGTACATGGTAGTGTGGAGACGGGAGTCCAACACAATCAACAGGATTATCCCCAGGTTCCCAACCAGAGTGATGGTGTAGATGAGGAAGAAGGTCACAAAGAGGAGAAGCTGCAGACCTGGATCATTGGTCAGTCCCAGCAGGATGAACTGGGTCACTTCTGTCCTGTTCTCCATCAGGGTTACCTAAGAATTTCTAAATGTTCTGTAATCATGAGAAGAAAGGAACAGAGTGATAAAGAAACTGAATTGAATAAGAAAGTATTGAGTGCAAAATGTATTGTTCTATTGTAGCAGCAACTTGTACCCTAACATTCTCCAGAAATAGCATGGGCTTAAAAACCAAACTCAGTGTTTTTCATCATATAGAGAAAATAATATTTTGAATCTGGGGACTCATAGGTAATTAAACTCCCTATTTGGAAATTTTATCCATTTGTTAACTGATATGTAAACAATTTAATAAAATAAAAAATTGATTTTTCTGGATGAATTTATGGGCCAATCCATTTCTCCTAAGCTCAATAAAAGCTGATTCTTCTGTATTTCCAACCTGACAGTTTAGGTGTGCATTTCCTGTCTCCTGCCAACAACATTATGAGTCTGTTTGGTTGTTATACTCATGCAAATTTATTAGGTAAATTATTCACATCCACACAATATTATTTTTCCGTCTCTGCTCTAGACCCATGCTAGCATTAAACCCATGTTCAGAGGTTCCTAAAGCTAAAGGTTGAAAGTGAATTTCAATTAGTGTTTGGGGTTTCATATTGAACTGTGGGAGTAATTGATTAGGTGTAATCTAATTTTGTTCTGTATATGAAGGTATATTATCAGATAATCTGACACAGGATTTAGAAAGAGACATAAACCTTCCATTTACTAGCTAAGAGTCATTGGTCCTAGACTAATTCCTCTGAACATCAAATTTCCATTTGCAAAATGAATACAGTAATGAGACCCACTTTGAGCACTATTGTGATAGCTAACAACATAATACATAAGGAAAAATAAAAAGCACATCTTTTTAAAAAATATTTATTTGTTAGTTTTAGTTGGACACGATACCTTTATTTATTTATTTTTATGTGGTGCTGAGGATCGAGCCCGGGGCCTTGCATGTGCTAGGTGAGCACTCTACCACTGAGCCACAATCCCAGCCCTAAAAAGCACATCTTGATGAGTGCTAGCTATCATTTTATTATTAGGAGGGGATAATGGTTCACATTTGGTTTGGGGTTTTTTTTGTGGAAAATTTTTTTGGATTTTTTTGTCAAGGTAGATGCTGACATGCACACTTTCACTTGTGGGTGACTTGGAAGTCTCAAAGCCTCTCTTACCAATTTCCCTTTTCTCTCCCACTTGGACCACCGAGATTTTTTTGTGTGTTCTCCAATGTTTCTCAGTCTCTCCTTAACCAAGCATAAAATTACTGCTCTTGCATCTCCATGTTGGCTGATCTTATTAACATTTTCTTCCTTGATTTGGGTAACAGAATCCATTGTGATTAAAACTTTTTTCTGTCATTACTTATCAAACCATGATCAAATCACACGAATCAATAAAGACTCTGTGATAGACATTTTGATATTCGTACCATAGACTCATCTCATCTTTTAGAAATATTTTGAAGATATTTCTTTTCTTTCTGTTGTCAAACAACTCACATGTATGGGTATTCCACTGCTTCTGCATGACTTAATTTCTCACTGACATTTATGTCCTTTAGAGCTTACCATTTTGCTAGAAGTTAAAGAAGAGTTCATCCAAAGTGGTGATTTTGAAATGACAAAATCAGCCATGGAGTATTAGTGCTATCATAAGAGGTCCCATTCAAGTTCCAAGTTCTCTAAGGCAGAGAAAAAAGGAGGAAAGATAATTAACATGGATCCAGTTCCAAATATACCACGAATTCTTTCTGTACTATGGATAGAATCACTTACCTCCTTGTTCTATGAAAAGTAAACATGATAATAATATTTCTCTCACACATAATGTATAGGTCTTGTTTGTAAATAAATGAGAGATTCAGGATATTTCATGAAGATGTTATCATTTAAAATCGATCAGTATGCCATTTATATTTGGGTGTTTTCTCTGACCACGGTTCAAAGCTCACAGAAAGTCCTCAGGTCAGAAGAAGGTCTGTATGTACTAACAATGATTATCTCCCAGATGAAAGAACAACATTCAATGGAGCAAGGTGTACAGTGTACACCTCTTAAAACAATGTTATTTTGAGTCATTTTGGAATTTCAGAAGCTATTTCATGAAGATCTGGAGAGGATTACACAGACATGGAGATCTCTAGAGGTTTTCCTCATGAGACCATCTCCAGATCTACATCTTATTTTCCTAAGAAAGAAGTAATTAAACTGCCCTTGGAGATTAAGCTGGTATTATATTTTTAATTTAAATTTATTTTAACTAATAAATGGAAACCTAAAAATCATACAAAATGATTAGTTTCCATGTCATTTCTCCATACATGTATACATGTCTAATGTTCAAATCAGGTTAAACAAGTCTGCTTTCTCAAATTCCCATATTTACTCATGGTGAAACCCCTAAAAATTCTTTCTTCTGAATTTTTAGATTGTACAGTGAATAACTGTTAGCTATTGTCACCCTACTGTGCAATGGCACGCAAAACTCTTGCCCCTACTTAACAGTACATTAATACCAAATGATCAACTTTACCATTCTTCCTCCAGCACCCCCACCCACTCTAGCCTCTAGTAACCACTATTCAGTTCTTACCTTCTAAGAAGTCAACTTTTCAAGATTCCACATATGATCAAGGTCATTCAGTAATTGTAATTTTAGACTGACTTATTTCACTTCACATAATGATCTCCAGTTCAGTCAGTGTTAGGCCTTTTCCCCTTCCTCGCTTCCATTACATAAAGATGCAGATTCTCCAGTTCTAATGAAGGAATGCAACAGCATTACCCTCCCACCTCCCCACCATGTGAAATTATAGCAAGAAGGTGCCTTACAAGGAACAAGACATCCCAGACACCAAATCCCTGGCAGCTTGATGTAGTACTTCTGTTCTTAAGGACTGTTGAGTAATAAGTTTCTATTCCTTAAAAAAATACTGGACAAAGACACCATGTTTGAGATACTTTTGAATATTTTTGTCAAACTAAGGAATAAAATAAAAGCACAGATTACTCCTAATATTGCTGGAGAAAATGGGGGGGTGGCATGAACTCAGAGGGTTGAATTCTGATGTTTAACCCTAAAGAAATGACCTAAAATCTTCTGGGTTTTGTCCTGAAAGAGATCCTTTTCTTCTGTAGCTACATATTGAAACTACTAAAACCAGCCCAGTCTTGTAAGTGGATGATTAAGATACAAACTGAACTCCTAGCATAGTAGTGTGTGCAGGGTACATTAGGTCATTGCTTGTGAAGATATACGATCCTAGAAGTTGGAATGTAGACATGAGGACAGCCCCGATGAACCTGGAGACATTGATCCCTTAAACTCTGATGTCTTTTTTAATATGTATTTTATCAATTATTTGTTTATTTATATATAACATTATGATTTATTTTGACATAATATAAAAGTACGAAATATAATTTGCTCTAATTCAGTTCCCAGTACTTCCCCATCCTCCCCTTCCTCTCTCTCCCGTTCTCTTACTAAACTTTCTGCTATTTACTAATTTTTTTCTTTAATTTGTGTCTTGTGGATATACAGGATGCTGAGATTCAC